AAAAAAAAAAAAAAAAAAAAAAAAAAACTTGGCAGGGACTTCCCTGGCAGTCCAGTGGTTAGGACTCTGCACTCTCACTGCCAAGGCCCTGGGTTCAATCCCTGGTCAGGGAACTAAGATCCCACAAGCCACGCGGTGCGGTGGGGGAAAACAAAAACAAAAACAAAAACGAGCAAAAGCAATTTCACAGGTTTGTCTCCTGCCTCCTATTCTGGACATCAGCCCCATCTCCTCTATGGCTGGCCGGCTGACCGGCTGACCCCCTGTCACTTGAGAAGGCTCCGTCCTGCGGGCCCCTGGGGAGCTCACGTCGGAAACAACACAGATGGAAGAACGGTTTGCAGTCCGACAGCAAGAGCGCCAGCCTAGAGTCCATGCAGGACCGAGCTCCTGGCCGCAGCACCTCGGCTCCTGGGCGTGGACCTGCTCCCCAAGCCGCCCACAGGGATTCGGGGCAGCATCTGAAGATGCCCCGGATCCACAGAGAGATGGGCCCACCCCCCGCAACCCTCACCTGAACACACTTCCCTTCCCACTACCTTCCTCGTGAGGCTCGCGAGATTTTCACTTGTGAGGTAGCCCGCTGGCTGCAAAAGCACCCGTGTTATAGGAGTTTCCTTAGGGCAGAGCTGAGCGAAGAGACAGACGGTGATGAACAGTAGGAAATAAGTAGGTCTGTCTCATCTTCAACAATAAAAGGAGTAATATGGCTAAACATATTACACGTGTATCGCATGTTTTAGTAATGTGGCTAAAACATTCAAGAGGTCCAATGAGAAGTGAAATTCATCTTCTCCGTGTGTACGTATGTACATACACATATACACGTGTATGGCTACATGTTTACGTACACCCATGTGTGAGTACGCTATCTGTGTGTGTGTATTGTGAGTATGTCGCCTACTTGTATTTCTTCTTCTGTGAGCTGCCTTTTCATGTCCTTTGAACGTTTTCTACTAGCTTGGTTTCTTCTTTTTAATTTAGCAAGAATTCTCTTTATATAAGAACACTAACACTTGGTGGCAGATGCAGCAAATATTTTATCAATTTTCATTTACGAGAGTTTTGATACAAACAACACATAGTAGATGTTAAAAAAAAAAAAAGGTTCTAAAACTTTACCAAATTTATCATATTCTTTACCATGGCAACTTCTAGGTATACGACATATCTAGAAAGTTCCCCTCACTGCAAAGTAACGGAACCATCCTACTGTTTGTACCTTGTAAGTCTGTGGCTTTGTTTGTATTCTAACATCCCTCGCTCCGGAATGCCTACAACGGTGAAGAGCTGGGGCCTGAGATGCAGTCTGGTTTCTCCCAATGACTATGATCTCTACTGAACAATCCATTTATCACACTGACTTGAAACGCCTCTTCAATCAAACACTAATTTTCCACATGTCCTTGAAGACTTACTAGTATGTTCATACTGAATACACCTTTTAAAGTAACGTCTGTATTAACAGCAGGTAAATAACAGACAATCAGTCCATGGATGTGGCTAGACAAGGGCTGTGGGACTTTTGCGTTCATCCTTCCTTCTAAGCCACACTAGGAGGGATTTTCTTTCAGCACAGAGCCGCAGGCAGGACACTGCCTGAGCTTTCTACCTGCGAGAGGCGATCCTCGGCATCAGCCTGGGAAGTTAGTTGGACTGGTTCTGAAGTGCGTCTTCCCGCACTGTGTAGCCACTTAAAATGACTTACCTCCACGTCATGAGTCTCCACACTGATTACAGACACTTGACCTCCACACGCCGCCCACAGTGTGTCTTCCATCATTAGCAGACTTCGAACTGGGAGGACGCCTAATTTTATCACTGTTTGAGGTTCGGAATTCCAGGATCCATCTTAAAAGAAGATATTTCTTTCAATTTCATTCAAATTCAGTTTCTCAAACAGACATTTCTCCAAAGAAGAAATACAGATGGCCAAAAGGTACATGAAAAGGTGCTAAATATCACTCACCATCAGGGAAATGCAAATCAAAACCACAGTGAGATGTCACCTCGCACCTGTCAGAATGGCCATCATCAAAAACACAAGAAAATACAAGTATTGGTGAGGATGTGAAGAAATGACAACCCTTGTGCACTCTTGGTGGGAATGTAATAAATTGGTGCAGCCACTGTGGAAAACAGTATAGAGGTTCCTCAAAAAACTGAAAATAGAACTGCCGTATGATCCAGCAATTCTAGTCCTTGGTATATAACCGAACGAAACGAAAACACTAATTTGAAATGATACTTGCACCCCAATGTTCAATGCAGCACTATTTACAGCAGCCAAGACCTGGAAGCAACCTAAGTGTCTATTAACGGATGAATGGATAAAGAAGATGTGGTACCTATATACAATGGAATATTACTCAGCCACAAAAAAGAATGAAATCTTGCCATTCGTGACAACACGATGGAACTTGAGGGCATTATGCTAACTGAAATGAGTCAGACAGGGAAAGACAAATACCGTATGATCTCACTTTTATGTGGGATCTAAGAAAGCCAAACTCATAGAAACAGAGAGTAGAAGGGTGGTTGACAGGGGCTGTGGGTGGGAGAATGGGAGATGTTGGCAAAGGGTTCAAACTTCAGTCATAAAATGAATAAGCTCTGAGGATCTAATGCACAGCGTTATGATTACAGTTAACAACACTGCATGATACACTTGAAAGTTGTTAAAAGACTAGATCTTAAATGTTCTCACCACAAAAAAGCAACGGTAAGTACGTGATGTGATGGAGGTGTGAGCTGGCAGACGGCGGTGATCATTTTGCAATATGTATCAAATCAAGACAATCAAGACACTGTACACCTTAAACCTACACAATGTTATATGTCAGTTATAGCTCAATAAAGCTGGGAAAAAAGGTTCAAATACCCGCCTCCCCAATTAAATAAATCAAAATAAAGCCTAAATAAATTCATAACACTGGAAGAAATGGACATAGACACTCCAAATCAAGTTGGGGGGCTTGCTAGACCAGGCATATTACAGTAACTTCAAAATTTCAACTAGTTGATAACTCCCATGAAATTTAATCTCTACTGGAGCAGTGGAAAAAACAACTTGAATGAGCAAAGCCGTGCTACCAAAGCCGGACAAAGGTCGCAGAGAAGAGAAACAGAGAATCCCACGATAAACACTCACATGGTTCTAAATAAACGTGTATTTAAACACAAATCACATCCAGCAGGAGAGAAACAACGCGTCCTCGGCAGAGTAATCATGCCCCGAGGTGCCCCGATCCTGACACCCACCCCCCACCCCCGGAATCCGCCTTTAGAAGGAACTCCTTCTGCCCTTCCAGCCTCTCGAGTCCCAGGGACCTGCAGTGGCTCCAGCCTCAGGACTCCTGGGATGGACGCTCATCCTCCAGGGCTCGCCTGACTGCCGTCCTCCAAAGAGCCTGGACCCCAAGGCCTGCAGGCGCTCCTCCCAGGGCTCCTGAGCCCCCCAGTCTCCCCCCGCCCAAGCTGGCCTAAGCCCTAGTTTTATGGTCTGTTTATGGTACAACACCTCAGGGTATGAGAAGTAGGACTGCTCAAACCTGTGGCCACAGGGGATCAGCCCAGGGTCTCCTGAACCAAGCTGACAATCAGATTCTCCCTGTGGTGATGGTGACACTGGGCCCCCAGCCTGGTGACAGCCACACCACACCGAAGGGGCATGCACCTCACTCCATCCCAAAAGAGAAGCCCCAAGGGCCTTGAGCAAGGGCAGGTTAAAGGCCTGCACTGAACTCATCACTTTGAGGAACACGGAGAAGCCAGCAGGAGGACTGACGACTTCCGCTGCTCTTGGCGGGTGGCTGTCTATCTCACACCGTCCTTTAAGGACCGAGCGAGTCACAGGTGCCTCAGGACGAGGGGCAATAAAAGCCGATGAGCCTCAGGACGAGGGGCAATAAAAGCCGATGAGCCTCGCGTTCTGCGAGACTCGGCGCAGCGTGAAACTCCCCCGGCCCGCCCCAGGCGTGGCAGTGGCCCCTGCCGCCCTGCAGACGCGCCTGCGTCACACTCACCGTCCGCTCGGGCGTAGGCGGCCACGGCCCCACTGACCAGGCCGGCATACAGGCTCTGGCGCGTGCAGGCCACGCTCGTGACCGTGGATTTCTCGGGAGTAAAGAAATGCTGGAGCCGTACCTTCTTGGAGCCTTGGCTGCTCTTATAAACGGAAATGCTGGAAAAGACAAGCGTCAGCTCGCGGGTTCGCTGGCTCACGAGGAAAAGTGCAAGCCTGCCGGGGAGAACCGCGTTCAACCTTCCTGCCCGCCCCCCGCCCCCTGCCACTCCTTCCAGAAACGTCCCGCTTGGCCATACTGTAAAGACTGCTACCACTCTGATCTCCTTCTGTTTTCTTTTAAAAGAGAAGTTCTGCGTTATTAAACCAACCAACAAACCAACACCTTAGCTCTTCCTGTAGATCTAGGAACTTCACGTCAGGAAAATCATCGTAACTCTCCTTTATGCTCTGACCATGTTCCGTGCGAGAGTAACACAGAACAAGGCTCTGTCTCATTCCAAAGTGTAAGAGTGACGTGCACTCTAAAGCGTGAACGAGAATGAAGCGTGTCCACGGCAAAGGGCAGGAAGAACTGGAACTTTCCCCACAAGGATTTGCTGCCCCCCCAGGGTTTCCTAGGGTGACTTCCTCAGTCACTGGCTCCTTCAAAGTCCTGGACCCAACAGTCTCCACCCGCGTCCCAACAGAGGGGGCTCAGGGAGGGGCTGGCGGACCCCGCCGCCTCGCGGCTGGCAAAGCCGAGGGGCCCGTGTGCGACGCTCACCTCCCCTCCTCCGTCCCCAGGCAGACGGTGGGGACGCCCAGCACTCGGCCCCCCGAGCTCTCGGGCTCCCGGGGCCTGTCCTCTGCGGGCACGTACACCATGCACAGGACGCGGGACTCCACATTGAAGCACTCGATGACCTTGGGGCTGGAGTTTTGAAAGGAGACGATGGCTATCTGACCCATCTGACTGGTGCAGCTTCCGATCTGGGGGGTTCGGGAGGAAAGAAGTGGGCTCCACGGCACGTGCACGGCTGACACCCCACGGCCACGGCAAGATCCGGCTCCCACGTGGGAACCAGCTGGCCGACGAGGACCAAATAACCTTTAAACAGTCTCTGCTCACAGAGCCCCGCTCCCTCTGCAACATGTTTAATTAGGTCATCTTTTTCTTTTAATTTTAATAACAAGAACACAGTTTTGTTTTTGTAAAAGTCACATTTATATCCTTTAAAAACCACACACCTAGCACCCCAGGATGGTAAAGGCTATTGGTGCACAATTCAAAGTCTGAAAAAGCAGGCTGGTATCAATTTTAAACCAGGCCTTGCCTGAAAAAACAAGGACTTAAAGAGACAAAAAGGGGTGAGAATGGATCTCAAAGTGGGTCCCCAGCATTTAACACATCAGGGAGTGTTGCTGTTTTTCTAGAGCTTGTACTACTGCTGCCATATTTATGAGCCCCTTGTTTGCTGGATCACTTAGGAACACTCAGCAAGGTTTGTTTCCCAACTTAAACCTAAATTTGATTGTCTTTTCAGTGGGAAGGAGCCGGATCCTGTTACCAGGGAAGAGCATGCCCGGCTCTACACGAGCATGCTCGCCTGGTTCCGGGTGGTATGCGTTCTTCACAAATTCTTCTTTTCCATCAGTATTGAGGATGTCGTGACCCTCTCCTTATTCTAACGGATTTTCCCCTTCTGATCAATAAGCATCCTGCCTTTCCCGGGACAATGTCAAAAACTGCCAAGCCTGCTCGGGCCTACAGGAAGCGGGCGGG